CTGTGCCGGGTCTCACCGGGGTTGTGCGGGGTCACTAGGGCTGTGCGTGACATCTCACCAGGGCTTCTCACTAGGGCTGTGAGATGAGGTGCGGGGTTGTGTGGGTGGCGGAAACAAAGAGGCGAAAATGTGCGGCCGGCGCTGTAAACAGGTGCTGCCAGGTCCCCAGCAAGTGCGGGATCTTACGGCAGCCAAATGTATTTAAAAATGTAAGGCGCCAGTAACAGTGTTTAGTATCTGTGCATCCCTAGTTTCTCCTGCAGCAAGATAATAACCCAAAATATACCTCCAGGCTGTGTCAGAACCACCTTAGAAGAAAAGAACAAGACAGTAGGCTTCAAATCATTGAATGGCCAGTCTTCAGACTTAATTACAATCGTGCTGGTTTGGGATAAAATGAACAGAAAGGTGAAAGCAAAGCAACCTACAAGTGCAACACATTTGTGGGAACTTCTGCAACAGTGTTGGGAAGAACTTTCTGGACAATATTTGATTTCCGTTGTAGAAAGAATGCCACGAGTGTATTTGGCTGTTATGTCTGCAAAAGGTGGCTACTTTGATGAGTCAAAAATTAAGATTACATTTTGTTAAAGGAAATGGTTCCATGATTTATTTTGCATATCCAATTGTTTATTTGTTCTATGCTTTATTTTCCGAGTACATTGAGACATAAACTCTTTCCCTGCCAAGGACGTAAGGCATACGGCGGAACACAAGCGTTTCCAGCTGGCCACGCCAGTATGCCTTACACTGCTAGCTTTCATCCTTCTGCTATAAGCTCATGGTCGCTTTAGTGACCATGAGCTTATAACAGAAGGGTCCCCCTGGCTCTTCTCTGTAAATAAATAGCTGATGACAGCTATTCGTTAAAAGTCCAACCCCCCGCCACTGCCCAGCGCAAGCTCTGAGGCTCTGCACCCCTCTCTCCTCTGCTCCCCCCGCCGGTTGCATGCTCCGATCTGTTTCCCCTCCAATCCCCGCTGCTCTCCCCCACCTGTATCAGCAGAGGCAGCGGGGATTGGAGAGGACGTGGACTACTGCAGCTGGAGGTGAGGCGGAGGAGAGATCAGTGACAGTCAGGATGCCAAGTGAGAAGCAGAGCCGCTGTCTGGATGGAGAGCAGAGGATAGGTAAATACATGTAATATTTACCGATCCTTCCCTGTACTGAGCAAACACTGGAGTGATCAGTAGTGGTGTAAGCTATGTCCTCAGTTATGAATGAACAGGAAGTGCTTACATTGCTTCCTGCTCATTCATTAGAGGGGACATAGTAAGCTCACTATGTACTCAGTTAATGAATCGAGAGGAGCACTCAGTACAGAGTCTTCCTGTCCATTTATAACTGGGGAGAGTACTATGCCTCCTCCGTTTGTGAATGAACACGAAGCCTCTGTACTGAATGCTTTCTGTCCATTCAGTGCTGGGGCTGCAGAAAAGAAGAGATTGAAGACTCTGCCTCAATCTCTTTTTCTATTTCAAAAGGGAAATGTCAAGGGTCTGTTTAGACCCCCTAATATTTCCCTTAAGCCCCCAACATTATAAAGAAAAATTTAAACATATCAATATTGTTAAAAAAGAAATAAAGCACAACCCCCTCCCACACACATAACATACATGTGCAACAGTGTGCACCATATTGTGATGCATGGCATGTGCTGGGGTGTGTTAGAACACATTGGAGTGCTTGATTTTTTTTTTAAATAACGTTAATTCAACTGTGTGGCAACACATAGCACTCACACCAAAACAGCGCACCAAGACACTGCAGATCAGGCATTACCACAACACAAATCTTTTGCATAAGTTGCTCATTGACAGGTTTGCGTTCCATACGTTTTTTTACCATTTCGCAGAAAAGCGCAATTTAAAATTTACAAATATTGTTTATTAACGCAATAAAGTTTTATCTTAGCTTTATTTTTTTTCTTGTTTTTTTTGTGTGCACTGATACTGATTAGAGTGTGTTTTTTTTTCAATTCAATTCTGTATTTTTATCAGTTTAATATTGATTTTATAAACTTTAGCACAATTATTGCAGGACCTACAAAATGTGTAGCACATTCTTTTTATTTTACTGGCCCTGTGCTTTCAGGAAATGTATGGATTGTCTTTTACAAACTCTAAAATGCTGCAGTTAAAAAAAAAAAAAAAAAAAAAAGGGGAAAAATTGCAAAAATGGT